ATCTCTCTCTCTCTCTCTTTCTTTATTTGTCTCTCTCTCTCTCTCTCTTCTTCCTCCCCCCTCCTCCTCGAGCTCGTCGCCGTGCTCCTTGGGGCCAGAGGCCGGCAGCGCACACTCGCTGTTCTGCGACTTTTGGCAGTCTTGGGCCTCTCAGGTGGGGTCCGAGCAGATGGGGTCAGAGGATCGTGCCACATCGCCGATGCATCGGCGATGCAGCTCGATGCGGGGCCCGATTTTCTCCATGTCGGCGTCGCCGATGTATCGCCGATGTATCGCCGATGTTGCAGCGATGCGGCGCGATCCTCCGACCCCGTCTGCTCAGACCCCATTCAGGAGGCCTCTAAAACTTGCACTCCCCCGCTTCTTCCTCCCCCCTTCGAATTCGTCGTTGTTTCCATCGGAGCAAGAAGGCAGCAAGCCCGGAAAACGCACATGCGTGTTTTTTTGTGATTGTGGCAACCTTGGGGGCTTCCGAGGAGGGGTTACCGGGGCCCCATTGGGCCGTTTCGGAAGCCCGTTAGGCCAGCTTGGATCAGGTTGGGCCATCCCGAGGCCTTCTTCGCGCCATCCTGGGGTCATCTTGGGGCCAGCTTGGGGCCAGCATGACGCCTAACACGCATTGACCAGCTCGCCTGGCACGCTCTTGGGGCGCTGCCGGCCCCAGTTCCGCGGATCCCCAGGGGCCTCCCTCGCGCGCGTGGGGACTCACTACCTGAACACCTGAACACTCGGACCCACCCGTATAGGGGGATCTAACCCGCATGGGATCTGCTGGGTCAGTGATTTTCCCGCTTGGCAGCAGCATGTGTACCGTTTCGCTCGTCGGCTGCACGGCGAGTATGATCATCCTTTCGAAGGGCTGGCGACCATCTGGTTTCTGTTCGTGTCTGTATACAATACTCGCCTTGACAGGAATGCAGCGCTCTCGCTGGATCCAATCGTATCTTGTCGTGCCCACAGCATTGGCTGTGATCCGACGCTCTTCGAGTTCCGCATACGGTGGCGGCGCTCGTTGAGGAATGTGCCCAGGAGGCTTCAGACCCGGAAGGACTCCTCATCTGATGAGTGCGAGGGTGCTATCCATGGACAAGCCTCAAATTGGCGTTCCACCGGCTTCCAGACCTTGTGGGGTCGTGACCACCAAAGAGGTTAACAGCTTAGTCGGTCGGTCCAGTGTCGATTAACAAGTAAGTGTGGCACTCTCTGTCTTGCAGGCAGGCTCGCTCAGCGGCTAGCCCGCGTCCCGCACCCGCTGTCCTCGGATAAGCCACTATGCTTTGTAATTGCTCCTTCTGATTTCTTCAGTGTCTGTCTGCTACCGTCCTCCTCCTCCTCCTCCTCCTCCTCGTCCTCCTGCTCCTCCCTTTCGTCGTCCTTCTCGTCCGCCTCCCCCGCCCCCTTCCCCTCAACTCCGATGCTTCCTCCTCCTTCGTCGCACTCCCGCCCACGTCCCCCCCGTACTCTATGACATCCTCTAGAAGGAGGAGGAGGAGGAGAAGGAGGAGGAGGAGGAGGCGGGAAGGAGGAGGAGGAGGAGGAGGAGGAGGAGGAGGAGGAGGAGGAGGAGGAGGAGGAGGAGCAGGGGGAGGAGGGTGGAGGCGGTGGAGGAGGAGGAGGAGGAGGAGGAGGAAGAGAGGAGGAGAACGAGGATGATGATGATGAGAGAGGAGGAGGCACGAAAAGGCAGGCAGAGGAGCCAGGAGCAGGAGCAGGAGGAGCAGGAAAAGCAGGAGGCGGAGGAGAGGAGGAGCGGAGGAGGATGAGGAGGAGCAGGAGGAGCTGAGGGCAAGGAGGAGTAGGCTGAGGAGGAGGAGGCGAGGAGCAGGAGGAGGAGAGGAGACGAGGCAGGAGGAATAGCTAGGAGGAGGAGGAGGAGGAGGACCAGGAGCTTGAGCAGGAGGAGGAGGAGGTGGAGGAGCAGGAGGCGGAGGAGGAGCCAGGAGGAGGAGGCGGAGGAGGAGGAGGAAGAGGAGGGAGGAAGAGGCGGGCAGGGGAGCCAGGAGGAGGAGGAGGAGGAGGAGGAGGAGGAGGAGGAGGAGGAGGAGGAGAGGAGGCGGAGGAGGAGGGAGGAGGAGGAGGAGGAGGCGGAGGAGCCAGGAGCAGGAGCAGGAGTAAAAGGAGGCGGATGAGGAGGAGGAGGAGGAGGAGGAGGAGGAGGAGGTGGAGGGCGAGGAGGAGGAGGAGGAGGAGGAGGAGGAGGAACAAGAGACAGAAGGAGGAGCCAGGAGCAGGAGCAGGAGGAGGAGCAAGAGCAGGAGGCGGAGTCGGAGGCGGAGGAGGAGGAGGGGGAGGAGGTGGACGAGCAGGAGGTGGAAGAGGAGGAGGAGGCGGAGGAGGAGGAGGAGCAGAAGAGAGAGAGAGAGAGAGAGAGAGAGGGATAGAGAGAGTTAGAGGTCTCTACCTCGAAACACCTGGGCAGGCACTTGCAAACTTAGACCTGTTTGTAGCCCTGGCTGGGGGGCGCCACCCCAGACAGGCGCCAGAGGCAGGTGCCTGCCGAGGAAAAAAAAATGACCGAGCCTTCGGCTTCAAGACGGTCGGGGTCGCACCGCTGTGCCGATCGGCCGAGCTGCCGAGCCCTCTCTTGGCTGAGCCCGGAAACATTGGCACGCGTCCGAGAGGCCGAGCACACGCAGCCCAGAAAACTTGGGCCCAGCTCTGCCCAGCGGAGGAGCAGCACCACAGTTCGGCCCATCTCGGGAAACGATCCAACCCAACGAGGACCGAGCAGCGGGCGAGGTCCTCTGCGGACCCGTGTGGGCCAAGCTTGTGCGCTCGGTTGGGATGCACCAGCCTGGGAAGCGCGTCTGAATTCTGTTTCCCAGAGCCGTGCAGGGAAAGTTCCTGTCGGAGGCATCGGCCCTTGAGGCCGCGAGAGGACTGCGCAACCGTGGCATACTCGCCGCTGGTGGTGCAAAAAAGGAGACAGGGGAGTTCGGCCCCCGTCCAGACCACTGGGAACTCCCAAAGGCTGGCCCCCAATATTCCAGGGTAGCTTTCGTCCAGGGGCGACATCTCCTCGGCCCCTGGCGGGGCACTCATCCCAAAAAGAAAGCTGCCTCCCCCTATAGTATCGTGCCCCGGTGCCCCGACGGGGCCTCTAAGGACACCATGGTCAACGCTTGGGCTTCGAGGAGGAGGAGGAGGCGGAGGAGGAGGAGGAAGAGGCAGGAGCAGGAGCCAGGACCAGGAGCAGGAGCAGGAGGAGGAGGAGGATGAGGAGGAGGAGGAGGAGGAGGAGGAGGAGGAGGCGGAGGAGGAGGAGGAGGAGGGCGAGGAGGAGGAGGAGGACGAGGAGGAGCAGGATGAGTCCTCACGCCTCGTGTCTCTCCCGTCCCTGGGGGAACGCGGCAGCTCCGCAGGTGGGTGGCCAGTCCGCCGACCATCCGGGGCATCCGGCGCTCCCGGAGTCGCGTTACCTGACCACGCTCCTGCTGTATCTGGAATGATCCCAGATCTCAGAAAGCCCATGGTTCGCTAGGGACTGGCTCCCCCCCCCCCCGAAACGGCGAAGACCCTTCCCAGACCCTCCCGAAAGAAGAACACCCTCGAACCCTTCCCCCGGAAGGTTTTCGGAGGGTTTCAGGAGGGCTTCGGCTGTTTTGAAGGGAAGCCAGGCATCAGTCAGCGAGCGAAGAACGGTATAAAGTAAAACTTTATACCGTTCTTCGCCCGTTAAATCAGGGAACCCTGGACGTTCTGTCCCGAATCCCGCGTGTCCACGCGCTCGCTCTCCCATCATGGGGGACGCCTCGCGGCGGGGCCCGAAGCAGAAGCAGCGGCACGCACGCATGCGCTCTTGGCGCTCCGCGCGGACTCCTGGCTGGCATCGGCGCCTGGGCCCCCCCCCGGGCGGCGCCTCTGGGCGCCGTCCCCCTAGACACCGTCGAGTCCTGAAAAAATCACGACGGGAGGTTTTTCGCTATCTTCGGCCTCTGGGGGCCCTCACCGGGCCTCGGGATCGTGAAAAAACGACTCGGGATGAATGACCGGTCCTGGAGAATGGGTCGAGACCTCTGGGGGTCGACGTCATGAAAAAATCATGACGTCGGGGGTCTTGGCCTGGCGCGCTCGGC